CTTTCCTGGAACTCACTTGGTAGACCAGGCTGGCCTCGAACTCACAGAGATCCGCCTGCCTCTGCCTCTGCCTCCCAAGAGCTGGGATTAAAGGCGTGCTCCACCACTGCCCGGCTGTAACTTTTTTTTTAAGCTTTGTGTGTTTCTTGATTCTTCTCCAGGTTCTGCCCACAGGGACACCTGGAGATGGCTGAATGTCACCCCCACCACAAGCTCTGCTCTTCTACTCAAGAGCTTCTTAAGAGCGTGCTTACTCTCCAAGGACGCGGATGTCTCTCTGTTACACAGACTCACTGAAGGACCCATCAGACGGCACCACACTGGGTAGATGAATGGGCTGCCACTCAGGCTGGGTGTCTTTTTTTTTACCCCAGAGCTGAGGACTGAACCCAGGGCCCCAGGGCCTTGCGCTTGCTAAGCAAGGGCTCTACCACTGATTTAAAGCCCCAACCCCCAGGGTGTCTTTTTTATGCCTGAAGGCTGTGTGAGCATTAGGAAGCCCATCTGGCCTTGGTGTCACCATGTGTAAAACAAATGGATAATACCTACCATACAGAGTTCTGGGGGAGACTCAGGGGCACCTGTTGCCTCTGTGAAGCACACCTTCCCTTGCTTTTTTTGTGGCAATGTTTGGAACTTTGAGATCCTGGCTTCTCTGCCTATGTGGTCGCCTTTCTCCTTTTCTGTGGGACAAAAGTAAGGAAGATGCTCTCAAGCCTTCTCACGGACTCTGGAGTAGCTGGCAGGTTGGCCCTGGCAATACAGTTTTCGGCTTTCTGCACCGTAAACTTCTATCACCAACAAAGCACTTACTTGCAGAACCCCAGAAGACGGCCTTCATATTGGGGGTTCCCAGCAGAGTTCATGGTGGTCACACAAGGCTGCTTTTTAGATGCCTGCCCTGCCCTGTGCTGGTCCTGCTGTGTGAGCTGTGGAGCCTGACTCCTGCCACTTCCTGCACTTCCGCCTGACCTCCACAGGAGGGAAGCAGGAGCCCAGGCCTGGCGAAGCTCCTGCTGAGCTGCTGATGCACTTAGCTGTTTGCTCAGCTGCCACATCCAGGTCTAGTCTTTACTGAACCGCCTGCTCGGCCTTACCTGGGGTGTGTCGTTCCCCAGGCTTCCTGTTAGCTTTCTTGGGAGGCGGGGTCCAGGAGATCTGCTGTTCCAGTGAAGAACATCGCTCCCTGACTTTAGTTGGCTTCTGCATGCTCTCATTTATTCTCCTCCAGGCTCAGTTTTGTCTCTAAACAGGGGCGGCCTTTCTGAGAGGTAACTTGCTGTTCCTTTATCAGGACCAGCATCCCTTGACCAGTCTCACTTAGCCTCACAGTGAGGGGAATGAGGGCACTGGGGGGCTTAAACTTGAAGCAAAGGAAACAACCTTCTTGTTTTCTGATACAATGATAATCTCTTCCTCCGTTCAGAGGCTAGGCCAGTCTAGCCCTTTGTAGAAAACACATGTAGAGAATTAATGATTTTCAAATTTATACAGAAAATAGACCAAAGATAACTAGCTGCTCTGATGAATATTGCTGATAGGTTTAAAAAAAAAAATAGCTCCTGAAGTTTTATGACAGCCTGTCCTGCGTACCCCTTTCCCAGGGAAAGCGGGACATGTATGGATGCAGTGCCCTCTCGAAGCCTCTCCTGGGGAAGGAGGCTTGTGCCTGAGAGAAGTTGCAGATGCTGGCGGTGCCCATGTCCCTCATGCCTCCTGAGACAAATTCTGGGAATGAGGGTGCACTGGGATTGGATGAGGACTGGCAGAGTTAGGCACAGGGGTGGAGGGATCAGGAAAGGGGGCGTGGAACTGAGGTGGGGACCTGTGGGTGGGCAAGGTAGGTGAAGGAGAGAAGAGTGTGTGTCCATCAGCATGGAGAGGAGGAGGAGGAGGAGGAGGATATCCACTTTGGAGGCTGAGTGGCACAGAGCCTTTGTTCAAAGCTCCTGGCAGAATGTCTGGGGCTTCCACGGTCTGAAGTGAGGCCGCAGCCCGAGTTCCATTCACAGGTCCGTGTGTCCTGTTGAGGTATCCAGGGATTTGGTGTGGGAACCTGGAGGTTTGATTCAGCTGGCCAGGGACAATCTTGGTTCTGAGTCCTTGAAGCCTGCTCAGAAGCCCAGGGCCAGGAGTTCCGGCCAAGACACTGAAGTTCGCCTCCAACAATCCAGAAGTCCTGTTTGGGAGCTCGTTTGGGGTGAGGAGTTGGGAGGTGCCGCTTGGGACAGCTGTGGTGGGCGGAGCCCGTCGGACACAGAGGGCGGGGCCTTCGGCCAGCAGCAGGAAGCGCACCTTTCCTCGCAGCAGCTGTTGCAAGTTCACGAAGATGGCGTTGGGATCCCTGTGAGCTGTGGTCCTGCCCTGTGGGGGAAGCTGAGGGCAGAGGATGGGCCTGAGCCCAGAGAGCAGGCCCACATACCAGCCCCTCTTGACTAAGGAGAAAAAGTTCATTGCCAGCAGCCAGGTGTCCCGGCTGGGAGGCAGCCCTCCTTCTTGGTCAGCCTTTCCACACTGAAGGTACCCAGAATCCCTTGTCTCCCCAGGTCTTTAGAGGGACTGAGTAAGGGTAGTTTCTAGAGATCTCTAGACTGCGGACTTACCTGGGTTCCCAGGAGGCCTTGCAGGGCTCCCAGGAGGAGGCGAACCTGCCCAGAAAGCTGTCCCAGCAGGGATGAGAGGCAGGAGGGTTCCAGCTGTCCCCGAGCTGCCATCACTCCCTCCAGTAGAAGGGTCACTGCCCCTAGAATGTCCTGTGCCTTGGTCTGTTCCTGGGAAATTGGAGAGAAGTGGACTGCTTCAAAAACGTGCTAATAATGGGTGGGGAGCCCATAGGAGTAGCCAGCGGAATGAATCATAGGAGCTGAGAATTGGACAGGATGAGGATCCCACCCATCACAGGAATTCCTTTGCAGTCTCCTCACAACTGGTCACTGGCCTCTGCTTTAGTAACTCCACTGTCCATCAACCCAGCCTGGTCTTGCTAGACTTTTGGTCAGGAAGCCACCCCACCTTAGTGCAGCTTTTAACTCGAGGCTGCAGGGCTGCAAGCCTATTCTTTCTGCTACAAAATTGTTGTACTACAGCACTTCTAAGCTAAACGTAGCAACGGGACTGTCATAATAACCGCCAAGATGATGGGAGGGGACTTAACAAATGGCAGAGCTGGGTATGTGGCACATGCCTATAATCCCAGCGCCTGGGGGGCTGACACAGAAGGATCGCAAGTTCAGGGCCAGCCTGGAATAGGAAGTGAGACCCTGTTCCAAACACAGAGCTAGAGCTGTGATCCGTAGTACTCATCCTTGGTAGTACTCATCCATCTCCAGACCCAGGACCCCAGGAGACTTGAAAAGGAAGGGTGTTCTGGGGTGTACGGGCATGTGCCACCTGGCTTGGTTTTGCTTTTCTCTCTCTATTTCTTTCTTTCTTTCTTTCTTTCTTTCTTTCTTTCTTTCTTTCTTTCTTTCTTTCTTTCTTTCTTTCTTTCGTTCTTTCCTTCTC